CTGTTTGTGGTCGATTAGCTTCTATGATTTTAGCGCAATATGCTAGAGGATCTACATACATATACATATATATATATAATTGAATACATACACTATGTGTAATACATGTTTTTGTATTAATTTTAGCCCTCCCCCCCCTCCCCACCAGGCCTCCATGTTTAAACCAGGCTTGGGCTTGGAACGCTGTTCTTACAACTTTACTCGTGCACGGGACAACCGATGCTCTGAATGCCTACCTCAACAACCGGCGCTCCAAATAACTACACAAGACATGAAATTTACGAGTCGGTTCCGGTAAGCTTTAGAGATGTAAAACCCAATATGGACAGCACTTTTCTGTAGTGAGCCCCCAAACACATCGAGAGCAAAGACGGGCCCCATTTAGCACCATTTAGCACCTTCTTTCACGTTGAGTGGAAGGAGGAGGACCTTCCAATGCCTCAGCAACGAAGCCTCAGCAACGAAGCCTCAGCATCCCCCAAACCCTGCAGATCCTTCAACCTTTGAAGATCCATAATTAGCCCTCTCCAAAAAACGGAAAACCCGCAAACATTGAGCAGGTCCAAATGTGCAGGGCTTCTTGCTCTCCACTTCTCGGCGCACCACGCCTGCGTGGTCACGGCAGAGTCTTCGGGCGGCCCATGTGGAAGTGGCCGGGAGCCAGGGGCTCAGCTGCGTCTTTGTGAAGGATGACAAGCATGACATGTTTGCCAATGCCTTTTCAAGTTCTGATCACATGCATGCCATTTAGACTGGTGTTTTTCCTCCAGCCGGCAGCAGGAAGCATTACAGACCGAAGCTAGTCGATGTAGAGTTTCCGGCATCAAAGAGCTTCGCACAGGCGGATCCTTGAGGGGAGGGGGGGTGCGCCACAACCCCATGTGGGATGCATCCCATGCACAGCATTGCAGCCTCTCTGGCAAGAGCAACCATGCAAGTGGTGGTGGTCTGCGCTGCCATAAACTGATTCTACAGCCGAATCCTGGTCCTAGGTAAGAGGATGCCAGCAAAGAAGACGGTTCGGGGGCGTAGCCGATGCCTAACACCTTTTGTCCTAAACCCTCAACGCTCACCAAAGCCCGAAACCCAAAACCCTAAATCCTAAACCCTAAACCCTAAACCCTAAATCCTAAACCCTGATACCTGATACCCCTTAACACTTGGCATCCAAAGGCTTGGTGGATGTGGCCGAAATCCAGTCCAAGCGCAGCAGCTGGTGCTTTCGAAGTCCCAACTTTGGGGCCTTCAAGGCTTGTAGGGTGTGGTAGGGCGGTTTCACTCGTGTGCCATCTAGATATAGCAGGTTGAGGACTTTGTTTTTGTTTGGGGGGCGGGGGTGTGAGATTTGATGTTGCTGTTGGTTTTTGGGGGTGCCCAGGACGCCCAAACCCCAACACCCCGCACGAACCAAAGCCCTGCCCCAAATCCATACTCTAGACTCTAGCTCATATATATATATATATATATATATATATATATATATATATGCTCACCCCCCCCCCAATGGACCCACCGCGGATGGCAGCCGAGTCCTAGCCAGATCAAGGCAAAAAACAACAAAACAAGAAACTAACAAAAACCAACAAACCAAAAAAATCCAAAAAACCAAAAAAAAACCAACAAAACCAAAAAAACCAAAAAAACCAAAAAAAAACAAAAAAAAAACATCATTTCCAAAACTATGGGGCTGGGGCCTCCAAAAGATGGTTTTTTTGGTTTTCTCGAGAAAAAGATGGTTTTTTTGGTTCGAAACCATCTTTTTCTCGAGAAAAAGATGGTTTTTGAGCAGCCGCTCTTCGAAAAAACCATCTCTTTCTCGAGAAAAAGATGGTTTTTGGAGATCTTGTCCTGGAAAAACCATCTTTTTCTCGAGAAAAAGATGGTTTTACCAGGACAAGACCTCCAAAAACCATCTTTTCTCGAGAAAAAGATGGTTTTTCAAGGACAAGATCTCCAAAAACCATCTTTTTCTCGAGAAAAGATGGTTTTTCGAAGAGCGGCTGCTCAAAAACCATCTTTTTCTCGAGAAAAAGATGATTTCGAACCAAAAAAACCATCTTTTTCTCGAGAAAACCAAAAAAAAAACATCTTTTGGAGGCCCCAGCCCCATAGTTTTGGAAAAGATGGTTTTTTTGTTTTTTTTGTTTTTTTTGTTTTTTTTGGTTTTTTTGGTTTTCTCGAGAAAAAGATGGTTAAGTTTTAGGGGTTTAAGCCTCGTGCACTACAGGGTTATAAGGTTCTAATCCTATAGGTATTGCCTTAAGCTTTAACCCTAAACCTTTAACTTTAAACCCTGCAGGGTTAACCCCGTGAGAAATTTAGAGATAGACCCCGAAAAGACCCTAAACCTTCTTACACGGTGTAATGGTTTAAAAACCGATAAGACATGTATACCTTCAGCGCCTGTAGGGTTCAAGCCTTTGAACGTGCTAGACCCCTATAGGGTGCTAAGGTTCTGACCCTAAAGGGTTTAGGGTTAAGGCTTAAATGCCCTCTAGGTTTAAATGCCTAAGTCTTAAACCCCAAACCTTTAAACCTTCATCCTATGGGGTTTGAAGGTCAAGGGTTTAGGCTTGATTGCCCAGGGCTTTAGGGTCCTGACCCTAGAGGGTTTAGGGTTAAGGAATAGATGCGTAAACCTGAAACCCTTAAGGTTTAAACTCTATGGGCTTAGGTTTTAATGTCTAAATTTTAAACCCTAAGCCTTGAAACCTTCACACTACAGAGTTTAGAGGTGTTAAGGGTGACAAATTGATTACATACTTAGCTTTAAATGCCTGAATCTTAAACCCCAATTCTTTAAACCTTATCCCTATAGGGTTTAAAGGTTAAGGGCTTAGTGTTAATCGCTGTCTTAGGTTTAAATGTCTGAATCTTAAACCCAAAAACTTTAAAGCTTCACCCTATAGGGTTTAAAGGTTAAGGGTTTAGGTCGAATCGTCAGCTTAGATTTACATGTCTAAGTAAAGAATCCTAAACCTTTAAATCTCATCCCTATGGGGTTTAAGGTTAAGGGTTCAATATGAACTGCCGGCATAGGTCTAAATACCTAAACCTTAAACTTAAACCCTAAACCTTTAAATATCTTAACCCTATAGGGTTTAAAGGTTAAAGGCTTAGCGTTAATTGCCGGAATAGGTTTAAATGCCTAAATCTTAAGCCCGAAACCTTTAAACCTTAGCCCAACAGGGTTTAAAGGTTAAGGGTTTAAAATTAGTTGCAGGCTTAATTAGGTTTAAATGCCTACATCTTATATCCTAAACCTTTAAAAATCTTAACCCTATAGGGTTTAAAGGTTAAGGGCTTGGCTACAGTTTAAATGGCTAAATATTAAACCCTAAGCCTTTAAACTTTAACCCTACAGGGTTTAAAGGTTAAGGGTTTAAAATTAGTTGCAGGCTTAGGTTTAAATGCCTGCATCTTAAAGCCTAAACCTGTACAAATCTTAACCCTATAGAATTTAAAGGTTAAGGGCTTAGCTTTAATTACCGGCATAGGTTCAAATGCCTAAATCTTAAACCCTTAACCTTTAAACCTTAACCCTACAGGGTTTAAGGTTAAGGGTTTTTTTGCAGGCTTAGGTTTAAATGCCTAGATCTTAAATTATAAACAAAAGCCAACAGAAAGAAAAACCCTCCGTGTGTGTGTGTGTGTGTGAGAGGGTGAATTAAGGAATACAGTCAAAAATCCGGTCACCGGAAAATCACCAGACAGCAGAGGTTTTATCGGTATTTGCGGTACTTTTGCAAAGATCAAGGCCCGCGGTGGGTCCATTGGGGGGGGGTGACCATATATATATATATATATACAAAGACATCTGTAAACTCTCACCCCGAAGGCCCTAGTAGAACTACACTGTATAGCCACCCTCAAGCCAGGCCACAAAATCCTCAATCTGAAGCCTCTGACAACCCTTACCCTTGGTTCGCGAGAGAGAGCTAAGTTGCAGCAGTTCAAGGTTTCGGGAGCGGCATCCAAACAACATGCTGTCTGCTGTTTACGAGGCTAAGGGCCGGGGCTTTTTTGACGAGGAGAGCGTTTCGGATCGGGGAAACGGACTTGTGGATTTGAGCCTCCTCTTGAGTCTTGAAAGGATGGGGTTTTAGAACGCGAGTGCATGACTGGGGTTGAAATCGAACCTACAGGGGTGGTTCAACGTGGATCCTTCCTGTGCACTGGACAAGCCGTTTTTGTGTTTTTGCAGCCATCTCTACCCGAGGCAACGCCTACAAACTGCTTCGGAAGCTTGCGACTCGCGCGGGTCGCACAAAGCTAGGCCGCTTTCTCGCGGAGGGGGACACCTTCCTGTGCCTTTGCGCTGATTTATTCGGCCGACACACTTAGCGTTGGTATTTGCGTCTCGAGGTTCGAAGCTAGTTTTGGCCGGACGGACACCGCTTCTGTGCAAGGCTATGCCTATGCCCATGGCGAATACGCGGCATGCTTGCGGTGCTCATCAGTTTGTCTTCTGAGGTGTGCCGCTTTCATCAACCTTCATTGCATGGCAATGCCCACAAGCTCGCTAAACCCTTGCCCTAAGCGACGTTTCCTTGAGACACGACGTCGGCCTAAACATCGATAATGTCGCTCAGATCCTCGTGCCTCTTTCGTTTCAGGTTTTTGGAATTTCCTTTTCACCGAGGAATCCGTCTAGTCGCATGTTCGTACTTGTGTTCGGGCTCACGGATTATGGAACAGTCGGACTTGATGTTGAGAAAACTACGTCTGCGAATCAGACTCTCGAACAATTCGTAGTCGGGCTTTCTTATCTGAGAGGGCGCCCGGGGTGTGGTTTGGATGGCCCAGAATAGCCGTACAAGCAGCCTTTCAAATCCCGATGCTTCAGTAAAGCTGTGAGCGGGAGAATCTGCAAACGCACAAAACGCCTCAGTGGCTGCCCCTATCGTGCTTTCGCGAAGTTGAAAAAGGCAACAACAGATAGTTGCTCAAAGGCCCACAGATCCCAGATTTGTAATTAGAACAGCACAGTGTCCTAGCGGATGAGCGCGTCACCGTGGGCAGGGGAAGCTTTGCCCGCCGCAGAAGCTGTCAAGTGGATCGCGCCTTCGCTTCAGGGCTTCCTCTTCGCGCGTGGCCGACCTCCTGAACAGACAGCGGGAAGGGGGGGCCACATGAGGAGCGACAGCTCACGCCACTCCCGTTGTATCTACAATGTATGTGTGTTCATGTTCTTTCATCGAAGTTTTCATACTTGTATGTATGCGTGTATACGCCTCATTCAGAATGTACATACAATGTGCTGTGCTGTGTACATTGCAATGCACAATGTATCATGTACATATGGAATAATATAGAATAATATTAAGATACCCAGAGCTCCTGTTTCCAATCCCTGTTCTCGGGTAAGGGTTGAGGGTTTAGGCTTGTGAGCACGACTCCAAGGCGTTTCTTAGCCCATTCCTACCCAACATCCTAGGCGCATGCGCCCCCGGACCATCGTCGTGCGACAAAGTCGCTACGACTCTGAGGGCCTACAGGAGACAGGGCTTGGGGTTAGGGTTTAGGGTTTAGGGCTGTAGGGTGTAGGGCGTAGGGTGTAGGGTGTAGGGTGTTCATGTTTTCACGGCTTTTTGGGTCTGTGCAACGAACAGCAAGCAAAGAATTGGACAGGCCAGAAGAGACGAAAGTCTACAGTGAAGGGCTGCAACCCTAAGAAATGCACCCTCGACTCCGAAAACGCCACATGAACCCTCCATCCCCAAAAGCCCTAAACCACAATCAATCGCTGGCCGAACCCCTAAATTTGCTCAACCCTAAACCCTAAACCCTACACCCTAAACCCTACACCCTAAACCCTAAACCCGAACCTTCCCTGAGCTTCCTAAGCCCAACCCCCCCCCCCTCCTCCCCCGCCCCCGAAGCTGCACCACAGGAGATCCTCGAGGCCGTCCGCTCGCAAAGTGAGGCCGGCCCACCGGGTCCCACCACGCCACTGGTGTGGCTTTGCTCGACAGCTAGTTTAGGGCTAGGGTTTATATAGGGTTTAGGGTTTAATTAGGGTATGGGTTTAGGGTCAGGGTTTAGGGTTTAGGGTTTTGACCTACAGGAGCTCAGAAGGCTGAATGCCTGCGGTTCTGTGCAGTGGGTTCCGTGCAGGGAGTCCTTCAAGGGTTGAGTCAAGGGATGAAGACTCGTACCCCTGAGGTTGTACCCCTAAAGGTTCCCCCTTTTTTATACTCCTCCTTATACGGCCCTTATTTTGGTTTGGGGACCCAGAAAAGATTCAAAAGGTACCCCCAAAAACCCAACAACCCTAAGGGTCCAAGGTAGAACCCCCAGATTTAGGGCTCCCCTTAATCTAACATGGCCCCGAGATTCCCTTCTTGAGATCCTGAAAAAGGGGCCCCAAAACCCAAGGGCACAACCCTAAACCCTAAACCCTAAAACCAAGGTAGAACCCCAAAGGAGACCTGAGACTTCTCGTAAGCAGCTGAGGTGGGGTGGGGGCCTTCCCGACCCTTGGCCTGCCATGCTTTGGAGGAATAGTAGAGGGTTTAGGGTTTAGGGTTAGGGTTTAGGGTTTAGGGTTTAGGGTTTAGGGTTTAGGGTTTAGGGTTTAGGGTTAGAAGGTTTAGAAGGTTTAGAAGGTTTAGAAGGTTTAGAAGGTTTAGAAGGTTTAGAAGGTTTAGAAGGTTTAGAAGGTTTAGAAGGTTTAGAAGGTTTAGAAGGTTTAGAAGGTTTAGAAGGTTTAGAAGGTTTTAGAAGGTTTTAGAAGGTTTAGAAGGTTTAGAAGGTTTAGAAGGTTTACTGCTTGTCTTCCTGTTACAGAAGTGCCTTCATGAGGTGTAGTCCAGGGGCTTGGGACACCCGGCTCGGTGACTCCAAACAACCCATCCGAGATGTTTCTCAACCATAAAGCCTCCCTTGCAGGCAGTTTCATGATGCCCCACTGGCCGTACTCCTCATCCCACTCAAAGCTTGAGGGTATCAGAGCTATATGAGGTATTTCCCAAATATGGTGCCGTATATATATATATATACCCACTTTAAAGAATCGATAATCCTGAATATGAACCCCCCCAAAAAGGGGGAAACCCTATACCCCAAACCCTGCTTCCTGAAGCGATCTGCTTTTGGGGCCTAAACCTGCGCCCCTAAGCAACTCCGCAGGCTCTCACGCAAGACTCTAAGCCCTCCTAAAGAAGTCAGTCTGTTAGGGGTTTAGGGGCCCTAAACCCTAAACCCTAAACCCTAAACCCTAAACCCTAAACCCTAAACCCTAAACCCAGGCCGACAATGGCCACCCTGACACTCCGGCCAGCTTCGCCGTGCTGTCCAACGCGCTCTTCGACCAGCTCTCCACGCAGGAGCAGCTTGGCAGCCCTAAACCCTAAGCCCTAAACCCTAAACCCCGAACCCCAAACCCCAAACCCCAAACCCCAAACCCCAAACCCCAAACCCCAAACCCCAAACCCCAAACCCCAAACCCTAAACCCTAAACCCTAAACCCTACACCCATCCCCAACCAGATCAGGAGCCTTTTCGGGATGTTGGGCGCAAGTCGAGATGCGATTTGATGGGTTTGCGGCTTTCAGGTGGTTCTCATGTCTTCTGCACCGTGCATTACAAAGACCCACTGAGTACCCAAAAGCCCCAAGAGCCAACACCACTTCCCCAGAACATCCCGAGAATCCTCAGCCATGAAGGCCAAGGGCCCTAGATAAGTCGCTCCAAGCCCCCATAGGAAGCTGCTCCAGCGCCAAGGAAATCTCAAGGGGTCTTCTGCGTTTTTGGCTTGCCCGAGCCCTCGCGTCAGGTGAGGGGGAGGGGGGTGGGGCATGATAAGGGCTCCCAGAGTCTGCTTGCGAGAAGGGTTTAGGGTTTAGGGTTTCGGGTTTAGGGTTTAGGGTTTAGGGTTTCAAAGTTGAAGCGGACAGTGCCCCAAACTGCCTCTAAGCCGAGACCCGAATGCTTCCAGTGCGAAAGAGTATGGGCTCAGTTAGAGGAATCGGCGGAATCGGACAAGAATCACAGCATCAGCATCGCTCACCTGACTTCAGGCTCTGGGGCGGACTGCTGTGGTCTTGGATGGTGTCGAGGATCCCAACAACCTGGGCGCCTTGGAGTTCGATGTACGCTTTTGGAGTCATTCTTTGTGTCGCTTTCGATAGAGTCCAGAGTGCAGCGACCGGGAGCTAACGGCAAAGCCTCAACATAGGCACATAGAGCGTTGCAGAGACATTGGCAATCAGTAGCAATGAATGGGGCCTTGCGGAGAAGAGACTGAATTAAATGGCTACCGCCTGCCGCCGACCCCTTTTTGAGGGAGGGGCAGACGCCCGGAGTTGTGTCATTTCAGGCGCCGCAATGTCCCCGAAACCCTCAACTGGCCGAGCCCTTCTCGTCCCCAAAAACCCTCGAATCCCCAAGCACCCAGTTCCTCGCGCTCCTCCCTGATCACGCTGCAGACGCTGAAATCCGAGGCCAACTCCGACCGAAAGGTCGCTTGTTATAGGTTGAGTGGTGGGAACGGTGAGGAGGGGGCGGTGAGGGTTGGAGCCCGTTAAAGTTTACGGGCATATGAGAGAGTGTTGTGAGAACCGTGCATGCGGCGATGGCAAGGGCGGTGGAGGTGCGGGCCTGCGCTGGAGCCCTTTAAAGCACCTCTGCGGGAGTGGGCTCGGTGTTGCGGTGGTGGGGGTGGTGGGGGTGGTGGGGCCAGGTATGGCGGTGTGGGTCTGCTAGGCGGTGAGTGTACTGAGGGCGGTGAGAGTGTGAGAGTGTGAGAGTGGTGGGGGGGTGCATGGGTCACTCCAACGCCGCCTTCCCTGGCGATCGGCGGACATCACGGTCTTTCAACAGAGTTGATTCGCAGAGACAGAAAGAGGGAGGGAGAGAAGCAGAGAGGCTTTGCTGCTTTGCTGGAGCAACCTGAGGAGTGATACTCCGGACCATGGAGGCCGCAGAATACGACATCTCCAAAATTCTGAAGAGCTCCGGGATGTAGGACTCGGTAGGCCCTTTTTGGGGCATTTCATAAACTTTTTGAGTTTAAGAAGATCATATTCAGGAATATGTGGGTTTTTAAGGGGCCATCCTAGCCTGCCTCTGCAGTGAGAAGCACGGCTTCGACATGTTTCGACCATGTCGTACTTACGCCTCCAGGCTTGCGTTGCTGGCAGCCCTCAGACCCACATCCAAGATTTGGAAGGCAACCCTCCAAGCATGACATATTGTATGTATATGTGTGTATGTATGTATGTATGTATGTATGTATGTATGTATGTATGTATGTATGTATGTATGTATGTATGTATGTATGTATGTATGTATGTATGTATGTATGTATGTATGTATGTATGTATGTATATATTTACATTTATATTTATATGTATATTTATATTTATATTTATCTATATTAAATATAATTACCCCAGATTGCGGTAAGGGTGCAAGGTTCGGTTGACAGTTCGAGGGTTCTGGGCTCAGCACCTGAACCCTAAGGTTTCTCCCTCAAGATCGGAGACCCCACGAAACCAGGCGTTCGACTCGCGGACGCTGGTGCTTACCAAGGGCACCGTGGACGTATTCAACCCAAAGGCCGCGCGCTTGGGGGGGGGGGGGGGGGAGCTCCTTTATTGCTGTTCGTTTACTGGTTCATCATGGATGTAATATACCGTTTCGGTCATGCCGATATACACATATATATATATATATGTTTAAGTGATAGGTTCTCGATAAAGTATTGACAGTGTTGATAGATTCGGTTCGATAGCCTGTGGTCGTCGACGACTGCACCGATGAGAAGGATTAGGGGATAGGGAAGAGGGTGTGGAATCTGGTGGGCTTATGTTTTTTTTGAAGAAGCTATTTCCTATTACCACAAGTCAGACAAAAGCGGATACAGGTAGCACACGAGAAGCACGAGATATAGAACTCCACCCTGAAGACCCAACACGTAGTGGTGCCTTGGATAGATAGTCCATAAACCCAGGTCCCCCAGCCCTCGCAAAAAAGCCTCGAACCCAAAACCTTAAACACCCTCGCTTATGAGGAGACTTATGAAACAGCGCCAGGTGGTTCGATGCTCCATGGGGGCAGCGGCTGCTCGGGCTCTAGAGAGGGAGAGGGGGAGGGAGAGAGAAAGAGAGATAGAGAGAGAGAGAGACAGAGACAGAGACAGGGAGAGAGGGAGACGGGGGAGACGGGGGAGAGGGGGAGAGAGAGAGCGAGAGGGAGAGGGAGAGGGAGAGGGAGAGAGAGAGAGAGAGAGGGAGAGGGAGAGGGAGAGGGAGAGGGAGAGGCAGAGGGAGAGGGAGAGGGAGAGGGAGAGATAGCAAACAGGAGTAAATCAGTTTACGAGTAAAAAGCAGGGGGAGAGGGAGAGAGAGAGAGAGAGTGAGAGAGAGAGAGAGAGATAGAGAGATAGAGAGTGCGAGAGGGACAGCGCCAAGAAGAAGAGGGGCTTCACAGTGTGTGGGCGGGCGGTCGTCCCATGGCCTTTTTGGGTAGACTTGAGGCTTCTTTCGGTCAATGGTGGTAAAGCATCCTGTGGAGCTGTCTGGTGTTTTTCTTGGGCTGAGAAGTTGCGAATGGATGCTCTCCAATCCTGAAATCCATCTACTCGATCCGCCCTGGACCTCCACTCCAAGCCCAAGCGCCAACAAAGCTCAAACGAAATGACCCCTACTCATATCACTCTGCTTAAGAAAGGCTCCTCTCAAAACCCTAAACCCTAAACCCTAAACCCTAAACCCTAAACAGGTTTATAAACCCTAAACCCTAAACTCTAAACCCTAAACCTTGCTTGCACCGCATTCTTCGTGTTTCGCTGAGGTCCGAGGCCGCGTCCAAGTCCTTGAGGTGGCCGATGCAGAGGTCCTTGGGAAGCCGAGGGCTGTTTGGGGGGGGGGGGGGGGG